AAGCTGGGATTTGAATTTCTCTCTTAGGTCCATCATGAGTTCCCAGGATTTACCGCCCCACGGGTGGTGGTCCCGGCCTTCTTCCACCAGCCAGGGACTCAGCTGGTAACACGGAAACCAGCACGTGAGAAGGGGACAGGACGCAGGGACTCCACCTCGCGGCCCGCCGCAGAAAATCGGGAGGGGACCCCAGAACCAACCCGCGGGGAGGGGACAGGACGCCAGAACCCCACTCCGCGGACGAGGGCTGAATCTCGCGTCCGGTCACCGCGGTCCGGGAGACGTGGGCCTGCGGCCACTTCCAGACCGTTCCGGTCGGTTGGAACGAGCGCCCCCCGCCCCGTCTCAATCCCGCCGGACTCACCCTCTGGCGGCTCCGCTCCGGGCTCTCCACGCGTCCTCCACTCGCACTGCGGCCCCAGGCGGGTGCCAGCCCCGCGCAGAGGAGCCCGAGCCCGCGGGGAACGCGGGTTCACGTCCACGAGGGGGGATCGCGCCCGCCCCCGAGCCTGATTGGATGGTTCCCGGGATATAATTGCGGCCCCCGCGCCGTGATAGGACGGCTTGCGGCCCTTCACGGTCTGATTGGAGGGTAATCCTGACGCGGCCCCTGTGGCCTCAGATTGGACAGCTCCCCCAGGCCCCGCCTCCTGCCCCCTGAGGCTCCCGCTCGCGATACACCTGTGCGGGATCTGTGAGCCCCCAGGTGGGCTCCCAGCAGAATACACTCTTGGCCCGTTGACCCGTCTGCACCCTCCTTCTGTCCCGAGAATCTGACTCACTTTCTCCGCGGAGCCTCCCTTGTCCGGCGCCAGATCAGGAAGAGACAGAACAGAAGGGCCCGGTGACCCTTGAGTCCGCGGTGGACACGGGGTGGCGGTGCACGGATCCCCTGTATTTAAGAACAGCTCAATGACCGGTGATGTCACTAAACAGAAGAGAAGGTCTTCCTGGGTTTTGACCTGACCCTTTGACACCGCGAGGCCCCACTCTCCATCCCTGCCCCACTTCTCTGGCCTCAGGTCAACCAAACATGCCCTGTGTCCTCAGCCCCCTCGAGACGTGGGATCCCGCGATCCCAGCAGGACACAGTCACAGGTGTGCATGGCTAGGGGAATGTAAAGTAGGGCACCTGATGTGGATAAAATCTTGATTGTTTCTCAAGAAGTTAACCACGGAATTATAATGTGACCCATGTATTGAGTCCTACCCAAACCGAAACAGATTCTCGGATGTGTGCACACGAATGCCAGGTGCCAAACTATTCAGGACCCACAAGAGGGAAACGTCCCGAGTGTCCCCCAGTGCGTGGATGGATGAACAGGGTGCAGCATATACACAGGACGGACGGTGACTCAGCCCCAGAAGGGAATGAGGCACGGACACATCATGCACGTGAACCAATCGTGAAAATGTTATATAGCACGTGGAAGACACCAGCCACACCAGGCCACATGGTGTGAGTCCGCTTACATTAAATAGGCAGAGTGGGCAAATCCATTGCGACATTATTTCAACAGTGCCCAGGAAGCATGATTTCCTGGCTATTGTGGCCTTTAAATTTGTTTTGAAAATTGAGATATAAGTCACATACCGTAGTGCTCACACTTTTAAGAGTAAAATTCAGGTGTTGTTTTATTTGATGTGTTCTCAGTGCACCATCTGAAGAAGGAAATGGAGCCTTTTACATTCCACATTCACAGGGACTGATTACAAACAGGATCTGCTGCTGTGACTTTCCTTGCAGAACACAATGCACACCTGAGTATTGCAACACATCACACCTGTGGCTGTGCCCAGCTGGGGGTCGTGATAACACACATCCCTAGACATTGTTTAACGCGATAGGCCATGAAGGAGTTTCCGGTTTAAGTGATGATCTTTGATTCTCATGCAAATATACATCTGTACATCCATACCTTCATCATTATGCTTCCAACATACAAGTTCTTGATGATTGCTCAATTTGGGGTAAGTCCCTGTACCTCATTTTATAAAAATTCAGGTCTCTGAACAATTGTTCCTATGTATAAAATTTTGAAGTGGGATTTGTGAAGTTCCAAGAAAAACTTGGTATAATGCTGATGGAATTCTATTAAAATGATTCAACTATTTGTTAAATATTGACACGTGGGAAGATTTCCTTGAACCTCTTTCTCAGCCCACCTACAAGCCAGGAAATTCTGATGGTTCTAACTTCAAATACTTTCTGGGCTTCAACCTCCACATCATAGCCATTCTACCAACCCAGTGTGATCCACCACCTTGGCTGAAATCACCATCCTACTGTCTGTTGTCATGGTAACAGAAGGATACTCTGCGGGTGCCTGATCAACTCATCTTGAGAAATCACCATCCTAAGGGACCTGAATGTGAGACAGGA